GAAACAATTTTTGTTGAAATGGTTTGAATCAAATGCATAAAGGATTCTGGTATTTGCTTCTTCCATATTCTTAAGAAACTTGTGGGAGTAAATTGAGTGATACAGATCTCGAATAGCAATTTAAAAGAAGCAGCTAACTAGACCTTAAAGTATTTTGACTTTTAGATCGCAGATGTTTCAACTGCAAGCAAGAGGGACATCGTTCAAACGATTGTCCAATGCCAAAAAGTATGCTTATTTTCTCTGTGTTAACTGCTCTGATTATAAAGTTCAGACCAGTCTTGCTTCAACTGTGGACAAACCGATCACCCTTCCCGTGAATGTCCTCACCCGCCGAATCATCAGGATCGTCTCATGGATGAACTGCAACGAAAACCTTTGTCGACGTATGTCCCAAAAGATGAAGACGTTGAGTTACTGTTCAAAGAACACATCGAGCAGGGCGAGTTGTTTACGAAATTGTTTGAAGCCGAAGTGACCCTTAATGAAGGTGGTCTGCATGGGAGAACTGAGAGGGGGAAGAAATTTACGTGAGTTTAGCGTAGTGCATTCAGAGAAATTTCTAATTTTGTTTTAAACTAAATTAATTATTTGTTTTAGTTCCTTCGAAGAGCTCGATTTACCAACAGAAATTGCTAAAAATGTGAATATTTGTGGGTACAAGAGTCTAACACCCATTCAGCAATATGCCATGCCTGCTATTATAAAAGGTATGTAGTTGCCTTTCATAATTCGTGATCCGGTACTTCTTGCGACAACTCTCAGTTTCCTACCTTATTGTATTTTTGCTTCCTCTCCACACCACTCAAAGCATGTATGCTTTCAACAATTTGCTCCACAAATTCCTGATTTCCCCGTATCTAACGAAAAGTTTTGCACCTTTTTTCCTTCGAAAAGTTCTGCGGAAGTCTACTGCGGTATACTAATGTGATCTCGCGATTTAAGGAACTAGCTAAACTTTTCTGAACTTATTAGGACGGGATCTGATGGCCTGTGCACAAACTGGCTCTGGAAAGACAGCCGCATTCCTTCTGCCTGTCATGACTAATCTGATGAAGACTAACAACCTGAGTAATACAGCAGAGGGCACGTGTTGCCCCCGGTAAGAAGAAACGATAATTAGCAGAATAACATCTGATTTTTCGATTACAGATGCATAATTATTGCACCAACTCGTGAGCTAGCTGTGCAGATATACAATGAAGCGCGCAAGTTTGCAAATGGAAGTGTTCTTCACGTTGCGTGCATTTACGGAGGAACGGCTGTTATGACACAAAGACAGCAACTCCGTCGTGTAATTTTTAAATATTAACATTTGAAAAATCTACATTTTGCAGGTAGAATTGTGAGTTTTAGGGCGCAACGATTCTTGTTGCCACTGTAGGACGTCTCAAA